GTACATTAAATACATTTTTTGCTAGTTTGCTTTGTTGAAGCAGTATTTTGTCTTTATGTCCAAGAAAGATTATTCCACTGTTTTCCTGATGCTTGTTTTTAACATATCTAATGCCTTAATCTATTTGCAACATTCTCTAAAAAGCTTGAAAAAAGATTTGCCAGTATTCCCAATTTCAACTGCTGAAGACCAAATAATCAAAAAAGCTGCAGCAGTACTAAAATGATACTCGTGTCCTCATACAAGCTGTCAAACTGAACAACACAATAGCTAATCTGTGACTTCCAAAACCAATATTACTGTTGGAAAATAACTCAAGCATTTAAGCACAAGCATTTACTGATGCCACCCCTATGGTTAGTCTATGGTCACATCACAGGTCCTAATGCTTTACCCATACGATCTTTATCAGATCAGATCTTTTGTGTGAATGGTTCACATTTGTGTTTATAAAACACCACTGAGGTCTTAAACTGTCACTCATGCACAGATTTAATTGAAACATGAGCCACATGCAAGAATAACATCACTCGTGCAACAGTGAAATTGAGCAAATTCATCAAAAACCACTTGGGTTCAGCATGTTCCTTCCAGCTTGACTGGAACAGAAGCTTCTCCCTAAAAATGCTACAAATCAGAAACTTCCTCATGTCTCCACTTTCCCCCGTCATTGTTGTTTCTCTCCTCCCTGTTTATTTTTACTAGTCTGTGAGGGGCCGACGCTGAATGATGACAACAAGCAACATGCAAATGCACAGAGGAGCGGGGCCGCAAAAAAAAAAGTTCCAAACTGTAGAGCCCTTTCCTGCAAGTGCAAGCACCCTGGATTGAAGGAGAAGAAGAGGGAGGAGGAGGAGGAGGAAAACCAGAAATACCAGTTAAACTTTAAAGAAGAACTTTACCTCATGGCCTCATCTATTTCAGTAACAGTCAGTTTTGAACACATTCATACAACTGTGGTCAACACATCTGCTCAAGAGTATCTGTTCACCAGCCCACACAGGTAAGACATTAATTAAGCAAAGCAGCTAGTGTGGCGAGTAAGAACATATGTGCTGAGGGGTCAGTAACCTCTGCCTCAATATAATATGACGTTTGCTGTAAATGTGAACAATGCCAGCCTTGTTCTTCAAAAGGAAATCAAAGAAATTACATGAAAATGTATCAACACAGACTTAGCATTGAATTTTGTGAATTTTCTGAAGCACTGAGCTTTAAATAAAACACAAATGCACTTCTAACCATAATGCAGAGACAAACATAAATCATAAATCCATCAACTGTTATATGAAGTACTGTGTTTAATACTAATTTTAAATGTAGTTTTATGGTCTTGTTGGAGTTTGCAAAAACAAAGGAAACAGTATAGGGCACATGTAGATGGGTGACGAATGAAAGGAAAAGCCTGGATAAATGAGTGTTGCCTTCCAGGATGACAGTGCTCCCATCCATAGGGCACGAGGGGTCCCTGAAAGGTTGGAGTACTAAAATGATGTTAATCATATGCCGAGGCCTGCGCGGTCACCAGATCTGAACCCAGCTGAGCATCTATGGGAGATGTTAGACAGCGTCTCCACCACATGTTCATCCCTTCAGTAGAGTCTAGACACCCGTCTGCATAAGGGAGAGTAACATGTAACTTCCCTGTGTTCGTCACCCCTATAATGTTACAATTATTTGTCAAGGCCCTGGGCCAACACACCACTGGGGTATTCTGACACTCATATGCTTATTTTGTTCCTTCTCCTGAAACAGAATCTCTGATTTTATCTGAACAGCAACATTCCTCCACTACCTACTTTTATCATCTATGGACTTCAATTCCAACTAAACCAGCTTACTAGAAAAAAAAACAGCCCTCCCTCTCTGGTTAAGGACTTCTGTTGTGTAGATGTGGATAAATTACCTAAACACATGACTTTAAAATACTGCTAAAATATATTGGAGATCCCAAAATTTGCAAAAGTCATAAATATGTCAAACAGATTTTAGGGTTAGTGTGCACAAAATGATACCCATTAAGTAAATGAGATTGCAGCCTTATCTGTTCAACGGGGTTGTTGCCATACAGTATACAAAACAAATGCTGTCTCCTGCACTCTGGAGATGAGGATTCTGGCTTGTCAGTTCTTCATTATACTATCTAAAAGATGCAGAAGCAGGCGAAATGTCATCATTAATACTGTGCAATGATTTAGTTGCCGTACTAACCACTGCTAACTATACTTACTGTATGTTCTTCATGTCACTTATTTTATTTTATTACTGGTTTCATTCACTTAGTGAAGAATTGAGCCAGTGTAACTGGGAAACAGCACACAAAATATGTAATGTTTTTAAAAGGCATTCACATCGTTATAATTATAACTGTCCATATGTTATGTGAGCTGTTTCTCAACCCAGCCTAAATGTCAGAGCAGCCATGTTACAATAAAACTCATCAGGACAGAAAGATAAACAGTGTGTAAATATTTGAGAGGTTTTACAAAGCCTGTTGCAGCTGCTGGCATTTTTTCAGCATTCCAGCAGCATGTTCTGCTCTTCCTGATTATTCAAGGCTCTGCCTCCTCTTTCTAACAGGTAGTAAACACTGACCATGCTGCTTAGTACTCGAGTCCCCTATAAGATGAACTGCAGCTTAGGGCTTTGCATCACTGTACATACTGTACGTCTGTCTGTTACTCAAGAGATTTCTAGCCAATGGCTTTGTTTGACACCCTGGAGAAAGGAGGTCAGTCAGAGTTGTTACCAATCAGACTGTCACTCAGTTCATTTGGAAATCTGACTAATATCAATTAAATATTAATCCTTCTTTAACTAGTTCTGGTCTTCGCTGTCTCCTCAGGAAAAAAAATATTTGGTTTTTAAGGTGTCACAGTTGATGTTTAACTATGTTCCTCAAAAATTACACCAAGTCAGCCTTTATATATAACTCAATGGTATTTATAGCTCAATATCATACATCACAAATTTGCTGGAAGAAGCTTTCAAAGATTTTAATCAGATATTGTTCAGATTTAGCACTGATGCAGAGGTTTCTGCACTTGTAGGTTGCTTTGCTTTGAATCTTCATCTGGAAATACTCTTCATCCATTCTTGCACGTGTATGTATGGGTAATGTAATGTTGTTTTTCAGTCAGAAACATGGCCTCCGCATTGTCTGAGGAGCAGTTTCAGTGCACCATCTGTCTCAGTATCTTCAAAAATCCTGCCTCTATCCCATGTGGGCACAACTTTTGCCTGGAGTGCATCAAATGCTTCTGGGATACGAGACGCAAGTCAGAGTGTCCACTGTGCAAAGAGGCCTTCAAAATCCGTCCAAAACTTAGGGTCAACGTAGGCTTAAAAGACATCACCGAGCAGTTTAAAAGGTCTGTTGATACTGTATCAGTTTTGTGCTTAAAGGCTACATTTAAATAATTAAACAATCTAAACTATACACTTTTCTGTCATGTTTGACTTAAAAGGTCTTTGAAGGGCCAACGACATGCAAGCCCGCTCCAAAGCTCCCAAGGCAGCCTTCCAGTTCTGATGTCCTGTGTGACATGTGCCATGAAAACAAGCCAACAGCGGTCAAGTCGTGCCTCATCTGCCAGATATCTTACTGTGACATCCACCTGACACCTCATCTAAGTGATCCAGTGATGACAGAGCATGTGCTGATGGATCCGGCCACCTTCATCTCCAGTCACCTCTGCAGAAATCACAACCGGCACCTGGACATGTTCTGCAAGAGCGATCAGATGCCTGTGTGCATCAGATGCACTGAGACTGACCACACAGACCACGCTACCGTGCCTATTGAGAAGGAGAGCAAGAGGCTCAAGGTGAGGACAAGAGGTGCATTTACACCAAATCATAGGTGTTATTTTGGGTTTATTGTATCCTACGGTACCACTGAACGTTTATGCTGTTGATACACTGTACACAATATTTTACACACTTTATATTCTGCCTTTGGGAACCACAAATCAGATGATGTATTGTTTCTCTAATGCAGCACATCAAAGTGACATAAACTGAAATTAATGTGTGCTTTTGCAGAATAAGATGAAGAAAACCAAAGCAGAATTTCAACAGATGATCCAGGCCCGATTTGCAAAGATCGAAGAGATCAAGAAATCAGTGGAGCTGAGCAAAGTAAGCTTATTTATTTATTTCAATTATAGAGAATGTGAAGTTGGCATTACATTGTGCTGAATTTTGGGTAAATGGTCCATGTTTGGAGCATCACATTTATTATCAGTCAAAGTGTCCAGTTTGAGCACAGACAGGACAGAAATGTATTCGTTTGCGGTGTTTATGTCATCTAGCATTAGCTCCTGAACCGAGAACTCACATCAGTGTCACAAAAGAGTCATTTTCAGTCTGTCGCTCTCATAGACGGGATCTCTAGGTCCAATATGAGTCAGCTGCAGTCAGCTAAGGTTATCCATTTGGAATTACCACAGTCAGTAAAGTGAGATCTTAACAATTGAGACAACTTTTTATCCAAGCAAAACAAGAATGAGTGCAGGTAAATACAGTTTGTACCTCCAAAAGTGGGGCCCCCGTCTCAACATTCAGCTTGATGTGACAAACCTTCACATTCTCTATAAACATTATCATTTATGTGCCTAAAACCTGGAGTCAGCTTTGCACATTTTTCCACTCAGGGCACTGGATACAAAAACATATTTTTGTACTATTAGTTATTAAAGTGGCAGCCTTCCCAGATAAAACAAATCAAAGGTCACTACCATGTATGACTTTGTATATGTATATAGTTTGTTTATATAATCACTAAGATGGGCAATGTGAAGCATGGCAGTAATTCAACCAAGAGATAAACTTTGATTTATTAACAATGTAATTATAAAAATAAAAATCCAGTTTCATATGTTCATCAATATTTATTTTTGCATATCCACTGATAAACAAAGAAAGAGAGATAGAGACAAGTATCCAGGCCTTTGCAATGGCAGTTAAGTGCCATTGAGAAAAATCAGGCTTTACTCATCGATGAGATCGAACAGCGGCAGGAGATGGCTGAGAGGAGAGCAGAGGAGCTGCTCAAACGACTGGAGAAAGAAATTAATGAACTGCAGAGCAGGCACAGCCAGTTGCAATACCTGGAGCACACAGATGACCCCCTCCACCTCATACAGGTCAATACTGCTAACTTTTCAGAGGACATGTAGGACATCATTATCTCCAAGATATACCATTACTACTTCAGTAGGGCTGAGACTTTGTCAGAGATACACTGTACTTATAAAAAAAACACACCCATAACTGCATGACTAAGCTTGTTTTAGCTCTGAATGTAATGGAGTCAAAACGTCCCATGTGTCATGCAGTCAGTTAGAAGATAGAGTCATTTTTTCCTACATGTCACTGGTGTCCTGTTTTGTGTTAGAGTTCCCTTTCTCTGGGTGCTCCACTGCCCACCCGGGACTGGACTGAGGTCAGAGTGCACTCAGACAACCACATAGGGACGGTGAGGAGAGCTTTCTCTAAGCTGGTCAGCGTCTACCTTGAACTTGAAAGGAACCTGTCTGCAGAGGGTCAGTAACTTCTGTCCTGATGTTGTTGTTGTCATGTGTTATTCATATTGTTTCAACTGAATTCAAAATAACCAGCTTACAGTATTTGGCACACAAAATACCAGATGTTTCTATCAAATAAAACAAAATTAACAACTGGTTTTCTCCTCTTTTGTAGAAGTCAGCAAGATGAATAACTATGAAGGTATGTGTATGGATGTGAATTTCATTGTGCACATAATGAAAAAATGCATTATACATACATGCTTCTTATATACAATTAATTGTACAACTTCTCTGATTGTCTTGAGCATCAAAATGCACATGTCCACACAATAAAAAGTAATTCTGTAGGCTGCCATTTGGTTTCTAGTAATTCTGCTTTCTTTGTTCAAAGTCTACTTTGTCATTTCTGTCTAAAATGTACTTGAATAGGTGATAAAGAAAATGATTGAGTATAATATTGGAAATAGATTTAAGACAGCATGACTCTGGACCTACATGTAGAGCTAGAAAATAGCAGGAGGAATATTGGACTTGACCAAATGTCAAATTAACGTTTAATCCTGTGGATCAGAGGTTTCCAAGAAATTGTGACCCAGGGACCACCATTCAAGAAGTAACCTGAGATGGGTGGATGGCCCAAATGGACATTTTTATCCTGAGAGTCACCTTGGCTCTTCTAAATAGTGTATATATTTGTATGAATCATATTATTCACAAACAGTAAGTAATACATGGAAATGTGTTATTTTAAAAAAGTGAAACATTATTTTATGGTCAGGGACAATCTGCAATGCCTTAGAGGACCACCAGGGGGCCACATACCACTGGTTGAAAACCCCTGCTGTGAATTACTATGTTGGGCACATTTCTTGGAGACAGTTTTTGCTTTTTTCACTTTAAATAATCAGGACTCTGGTCAAATGTATTACAGCTGACATGGAGCTACAGTTATTAATTCAAACACTACTTTGGTATGTGACCTCGTGGCACAATGGTAGTGCATCTGACTCCAGATCAGAAGGTTGCGTGTTCAAATCACGTCAGGGTCATGATGCTTTGTTCTTGTGGCTTAGGAGGTAAAGTTATCATCTCCTAACTGGAAGGCTGGCAGTTCAATTCCTGTTCTCCACAGGCAAGACACTGAACCCCAAGTTGGCCCTTTTGGCCAGAGCAGCATCTTGCAGGAACACCACCACCATTGGTGTGTGAGTTGGCGCCACAGGTGGCTGCTTTGGTTCTGTACTGGAGACAAATTCCTTGTCTGTAACATACTTGACCAATAAAAGTCATTATCATAAAAGACAAAAAGCAGGTGTCACCCAAAGGTCAAAGGTTGTGTTTTCAAATGCCTTGTTTTCTCCAACCAACAGATCTAAAGATATTCAGTTTATCATCATCATTATGTCTGACAACAAAAAGCATCAACTCCTCACATTAAAGCAGGTGGAACCAGACAGAGCGGTTACTGGGCAATTTGCAGGAGTAAAGGTGGCAGTCTGTCTGCCTGCGCCGGCCCCTCCATCCCCCTCCACCTCCAGGAAACTCCCCAGAAAATTGGCATATTCCTGGACTATGAGGAAGGATCTGTGTCCTTCTACAATGCAGAAGCTAAGACTCACATTTACACTTACAGCGGGTGTACCTTCACTGAGCCGCTCCACCCATATTTAAACCCATGTCTTCATGACAATGGGAAGAACACTGCCCCACTGGTGATCTGTCCTCTTGTGGCTGTGACCATTTGAGTGGAGGATCATTTCCTGGTGATACAGTTCCAGTGGAGTGCACCCCTGAATGTTGGGTGTTAATAGCATATTACTGCTCTGCTCTCTCCTGGGAGTTGTTTTGTTCAGTGGAAGTGATGGTCAAACACTGTCAAATGCAGTTTGACATGTTTTAGATTTTTGAAGACATTTCTCCTCTCATCCAAAGTTCTGACTGCCAGCCTGGTCACCTGTCCATCCAAACGTGGCTTCTGTGTTTTTGATGTTCTGTACATGTGATCAAACTGGTGAACATGCTTTCTTCACTGGCTCGCCCTTTGCTCAGTTTTTGCTTCTGAACAGTTAATTTTCCATCAGGCTAGTGGTTGCAGCTCCATGTTACTGAATGGCTTAATGAGTGTGAGACAGTGTTGAATGCAATGGGGGAATCTGTTTTAGAAAAATGATGTTTCCTCGTGGCAACAGAGTAGCACTAAAGCTGTTCTGGTGGCACTTTACTAAAATATTCATTTTAATGTGTCACCTGTCTACAAAGCTCACCTGTGGTCCAAGTGATGGATTGAAATATTTTCAATTTTGGCTAAGATGTCCCTATAATTCTGCAAACAACACACATTACAGCTGACATCCGTGCCATGTGTTTTTCTCTGACTCTAGTGGATGTAACTTTGGATCCTGCGACGGCTGCGGGATGGCTGAATCTGTCCTCAGATGGAAAAAAGGTACAGTGTGTGACTGTAGTGTTTGATCATATGTGCAAAAAAATCCACATGGTATAAAATCAGAATGTCATTTGTTATTGTTGATGATGATGATGATGCACAGGTGAGCCTCAGCAGCCAGCCCATAAGGCTGTCGCTCCCTGACGACCCCCGCAGGTTCAACTCCTGTGTCTCTGTTCTGGGGAAACAAAGCTTCACCTCTGGAAGATGTTACTGGGTGGTTCAGGTAGGAATTCAAGTCTCCGATCACACATTAACATCAAACACTAGAATTCCCACATGGAAAAATACAGTCATTTTAATTCTGTACTTTTGTGTTTCAGGTTGGGGATAAAACAGACTGGGATCTTGGCGTGGCCAGGGCATCCATCAACAGGAAGGGGGCCATCACTGTTCGTCCTGACAGCGGTTACTGGGCAATTTGCAGGAGTAAAGGTGGCAGTCTGTCTGCCTGCGCCGGCCCCTCCATCCCCCTCCACCTCCAGGAAACTCCCCAGAAAATTGGCATATTCCTGGACTATGAGGAAGGATCTGTGTCCTTCTACAATGCAGAAGCTAAGACTCACATTTACACTTACAGCGGGTGTACCTTCACTGAGCCGCTCCACCCATATTTAAACCCATGTCTTCATGACAATGGGAAGAACACTGCCCCACTGGTGATCTGTCCTCTTGTGGCTGTGACCATTTGAGTGGAGGATCATTTCCTGGTGATACAGTTCCAGTGGAGTGCACCCCTGAATGTTGGGTGTTAATAGCATATTACTGCTCTGCTCTCTCCTGGGAGTTGTTTTGTTCAGTGGAAGTGATGGTCAAACACTGTCAAATGCAGTTTGACATGTTTTAGATTTTTGAAGACATTTCTCCTCTCATCCAAAGTTCTGACTGCCAGCCTGGTCACCTGTCCATCCAAACGTGGCTTCTGTGTTTTTGATGTTCTGTACATGTGATCAAACTGGTGAACATGCTTTCTTCACTGGCTCGCCCTTTGCTCATTTGCACATCATGTTAAGGTGCAGTGTGTTGAGCTCTCTCGTTCTGTTTGGCGGCGTTCAGCATCAACAGAAAGCTGGAAAGAAATCTGGGCGCACAAGTGGGCACAGTAACTCAGTCATGGACTGTACTTTTGTGTTTCAGGTTGGGGATAAAACAGACTGGGATCTTGGCGTGGCCAGGGCATCCATCAACAGGAAGGGGGCCATCACTGTTCGTCCTGACAGAGGTTACTGGGCAATTTGCAGGCGTAAAGGTGGCAGTCTGTCTGCCTGTGCCGGCTCCTCCACCTCCAGGAAACTCCCCAGAAAATTGGCATATTCCTGGACTATGAGGAAGGATCTGTGTCCTTCTACAATGCAGAAGCTAAGACTCACATTTACACTTACAGCGGGTGTACCTTCACTGAGCCGCTCCACCCATATTTAAACCCATGTCTTCATGACAATGGGAAGAACACTGCCCCACTGGTGATCTGTCCTCTTGTGGCTGTGACCATTTGAGTGGAGGATCATTTCCTGGTGATACAGTTCCAGTGGAGTGCACCCCTGAATGTTGGGTGTTAATAGCATATTACTGCTCTGCTCTCTCCTGGGAGTTGTTTTGTTCAGTGGAAGTGATGGTCAAACACTGTCAAATGCAGTTTGACATGTTTTAGATTTTTGAAGACATTTCTCCTCTCATCCAAAGTTCTGACTGCCAGCCTGGTCACCTGTCCATCCAAACGTGGCTTCTGTGTTTTTGATGTTCTGTACATGTGATCAAACTGGTGAACATGCTTTCTTCACTGGCTCGCCCTTTGCTCATTTGCACATCATGTTAAGGTGCAGTGTGTTGAGCTCTCTCGTTCTGTTTGGCGGCGTTCAGCATCAACAGAAAGCTGGAAAGAAATCTGGGCGCACAAGTGGGCATTTTGTAAAAGATCTTAAATACCTGACTATATATTCTAATGCTCTAGTTTTGGGACAGAAAATATAAAATGAACAGTTACATGAAGAGTTTTGCAATTTGTTTTTTGCTGTTCAGACCGTAGTTGGTGTTGAGTGGGATTGTACTGGAATTTGTGGTTTTGTGACTGCACCTCCTCTGCTCAGCCTGTAGTTAAACATTTGTATTAAACCTTAATCTGTTGGTGAGTTCAGAAACTGGTTGTGCAGCATCTTTAATCCCAAATTAGTAGTAAACATGTCGCCCACCGAGGCAAACGTGTTTGCACGTCCCACTCTTGAATGCCGGCTTTTTCTTCGTTTTCTTCTTTTTT